TCCGTGCGCGGCGCCCGGGCCCCGCGGTGCGCGCGGAAAGTTGATCTGGGAAAGTGGTCGCAAGCACGGCCCCGGAGGACCCCGAGCGGCCGTCGGGGGCCGGTGGAAAGGATAACGCTGGTGCCAGTGAAATTCGGAATCGGGCGCTGGGCACCCACGTGCGGCTGGGCACCCATTCAGGGAACCGTTGGGCAACGCCTCGGCCTCCTCTCATCCCGCATCGTCTGTCCAGCGGCTTTCCCGCTGCCGTCACCCGACCCCAGGCGCCCCGGGATTCCTAAGACGGAATAGCGATGGGGATGGGCAATGGCAGTCCCCCCACCCCGGAAAGTGAGGCAGGACCAGGTGGACGAGGAGGTGGGGGAAAGCGTGCAAAGCCAGGCCCAAATCGCCAAGGCCCAAATGCTGGCTGGCGAGCAACCTCTCCCCGCTGCCCCGAAACAGAAAGGAAATACACATAGTCCCAGCCACCCTGTCCGCAGAGAGAAAAGAAATACATACAGGCCCTTAAAAAATATTAGGGGTTGTTAAAATATGCCCAGGGCTGTGTTCTCTCAGGTGTGAGTTACATGTGAAGAACCTCACCTGGCATCTCCCTTTGGATGAACACCTTCTTTATTCTCTCCTGGAATGGGAGCAGCCGACGAACGTTACATTACATATCAAATGAGAGGGGGTTCCCTTCTGTGCAGTGGAGATAAGTATACACCCCACACCAACCACCACCACCACCACCCCAAAAAAAGAAAGAGAGCCGGCCAAGTCCTCACAAAGGTACCAGAGGGGGTCGTCTTGAAAGACAGGTGGACAATTAGAGATGGACTCCATTGATACATTGATAGCCTCTAGAGAGTGCCCACAAGGACGGGCTCTGCCACCTTCAAAACACACAGCCACAGCGAAACCTCACCAGAAAGCCAGCCACGGACTGAACTCAGTGACCAAACTCAGGGCTCCCATCTCGGGTCTGGGGGCGGGGGGGGTGTCTAGGCCAAATCACGGAATCAGAAGGGGTAAACACACACACACACACACCTTCCCAGGAAACCTGTTGGTGGGTGGTTGGGGAATGATACAACTTGTTTGGGGTTGTATGATACACCACCGACATCTGATTTTTCTTCTGCAAGCAACAGCACTCCGGCCTTCCGGAAAATCCACTTCCCTTCTCCTGGGCTCTGTCCTGACTGCCAGGCCCTTCACTCTGCCTGGTCAGTCTTTTATCCCTCTCTCTTCCTCCTTGTCCCCATTCTCCCCGGGCTTTTTGTGGGTTTGTTTCTTTATGAGTAGCTGTGCCTAGCGGCCCGGTTGTTACAGCCATGTGCATCTTGGAAAAACATTCTGAGGTAAAGGAGAAGTCCTGGCCAGCACCCCCAGCTGGCTCCCAAACTCTCTTCAAAAGCTCACCCCTCTCTTGCTGGCCCTTTCTGTACACTGCATCGGCTGGTCAGGGCTGGGGACAAGATGGCCCAAGCTACTGGTGTGTCCCTGCCCGCTCCATCAGCTCTGCGAAGTTGCATCAGCCCTGGAGCACTTGAGAGAGTTGCACCTCTTGGTTGGAAGCATTCACATTTCATCTCAACAATGAACTGGGGGTGAGGGTGCGGGCTGCGGTAGCACCCGTCTTGCTAGCCGGGCCTCCAGAGCACCCTAAATGCATCGGTGGCCTGGGAGACACATCCACAGGCTGAGCGGCAGAAAGCTGCTGCCGAGGCTCCTGCCTTTCCTGGGTGGAGGCAGAAGGAAGAGATATCAGGTTTTTGGTGATAAACAGCGTTGTGTGAAAACTGGTTGGACCACTCTCCCTGCTCAATGCCCCTACCGGTGTCAAGGGTGTCCCTGGAAGGCAGGTGGAACCTCCTTGGCCTTCTATCTGCCCCTCTTCTCCCAGGCTGCCACTACTCCAGAATCCTCAGTCAGTTGTCCCCAGCAGGCTGTTACCAGCACCCAGCACAGTCAGGCCGAGAGAGACACAGAACAAATGAAGAATATAGGTGCCCCCCCCCAGGTACTCCTTGACCCCTAGTCTCCCACCATACACCCAGCTGCAGCCAGTGATGTTGGCCTGGGCTTTCTCCTACTGGCCTAAGAACTCCAGCCAAGGCCAGAGCTAATAATGCAAGTCAAACCTACCTACCTGCTTCTTCCCCCTTACTACAACTGCTACCTCTCCTGGCTCCTGGCAGAAGCCTGCCTAGCAGTGCACTCCACAAGGACTCCCCCTTCTCCAACCGGCACCTGCCCCTCCTCAAAAAAAAAAACCCTTGCAATTATACTGAGGCTAGTGAGGCAAATTGCCTCCTGGACAAATTAGGCGCCTGCAAGTACAGTCATCTGAACAACCATCCCACCCTCTTAAAAATAATAATAATGGGGAGGGGATGGGGGGAGCAGGCAGGCTAAGCGATGGCCACGGTTTGGTAAGGCTCAAAACGGCAAGTAGAGAAAAACCTTGATACAAACCAAGCTCCGAGGGGGCTCAGAATATTTAGTTTCAAATGCAACCAGCCCCAGTTGGTCTCTGATCTTTCAGGATGGCATATAATAATCCGGACAATGATAAGAGGTGTCCTCATTCCTCCCTTAAAAAAAAAAAAAAAAAAAGCAACCCTCTCCCAAGCCCATGCGAATATCTACCTTTAACCCCACACCGCCACCCCAGCCTCCCCTATCCCCACCCGTACTCCCCCAAAAATTAGACCCACAGATTCTTACTACAGTATCTGCCGGTAACAAAGGAGCACGACAAGGAGTGATCCCGAGAAGATGCGTCCGACGCTGAGTTCTCAGGGGCGGGAAGAACCCCTTTATATTTATTTATTTATTTATTTAAATTTTCTAAAATATAACATAAATATTCGGACCTCAGCTGCCCAGCAGCCAGTCCTAGGCGGCGGCGGCGAGGCGCGTAGTCCTTAGCAGCTCTGCACAGGCGGCTCGGCCCCAACCCGGCGAGGGCTGGCAGGCACACGCTGTCCGCGGTCGCTACAGTGCCCAGAGGATGTCTTATTTCTATGGCAATAAAAATGAATGTACACAGACGTGTCCATCTCTGCCCATAGCTGCTCGCGCAGACAAACGCCACGGCGACCCGGGCAGGCAGCGCAAGAGCGGGGAGACCAGCAGGAGCACTGGCTGGGCGGCTGCGGCTGTGGCTGCGGCTGCGGCCGCGGGGAGCGCCGTGCGCTCAGCTTCCCCGCGCGGCGGTGCGGGGCCCGGGACAGGCTCCGGGCGACCGGGCACCTGGCCGGCTCGCGCTCGCTTTTCCTCCAGCCCCACCGCTTCCCCACCAGGGCGCGGGAAGCGGCTGCGCAGCTGCCGGGCAGCCGGACTTGGCCCGCGCCGCCACTTTGCCCGGGATCCACGCGACTCTCGCGGGTGGGTCGGCGCGGCGCCCCGCTTGTTTATTTAGAGAGGGCGATGGCAGATAGCGCGAGGGGAAGACGGAGCCACCACGGATGGGGCGCCCCTCGTTTTTGTTGTTGTTGTTTTACTATTTTACGAGCGCATCCCTCTCTTCCCACTCCTGGCTGACAACCTTTTTTTTCCCCGTGGCGGGGATTTTTCACCAGCCCCAAACCCCCCACCTTTTGGGGAGTGGGGGAAAGAAGACTAGCTCATCCCAGGAGACAGACGGAGGTGGGGAAGTGCAGGGGAGGGGGTGCGGGAGCCGGGCTCCGTGCTGCTGCAAACAGCGCCGAGAGGGGAGGAGAAAGGCGGCGGCGGCGGCAGCGTT